AGCTCATTTCATAGAGAATAAATGTCCCCACAGCAATAAGTTTCTAATTAAAAAGAAAAAAACCTTGACCATGGTAAACAGCTACAAGACACTAACAGGTAGAGGAGAGACCTAATATATAAATGCACAAAAATGAGGTAGTTTATAAACCTTCCCTAAGGCAAAAGACGGTAAAAATGTTGACATGAAGATGCATAATATAAAATACATTTAAAAAAACAAGGCTTTACATTTAAGAAAATGAAAAGCAAAAGTAAAAGCTGGGCCTTACAAGAACTCTTTTTTATAGAAAGAGCCCAAACTTAGATTTTTAACTTAGGGGTAAATGAATACTGTTATCACTTTAAAAAAATCAAAAATGAATTGCCTTATAAGCAGCAAATACAAAATTAAAATACATCTTGCAGAAACTTTTAATTTTTGTCTGTAAGTACAACAGTTTATTAAATTCACAAAATTCCAAGGGGTTCTTTGAAGAAAATATCACCATTATTATACTTCATCTAAGCTATTATTACATTATAATTTCCAGTAAAATTATCCTCATTTTCAGTTATTCTCCTCTGTTTGTTCCCATAATACCTGTCTGAAAGCCTTCTATAAAACAAAATAAGATTGTATATTGTAGTATGTAATGAAGCAATGTATGTTCCAATACCTCTACCATGTTGTTAGCATTATCACTGAATCCTCTAAATATTCTTCATATCTGAAAAAAATCAGTCTATTACAGCCAACTAAAACATAAAGCAAGTAAATAAAAAGTACATGCATTACTTCATACTTTTTAATTATGTTTAGTCATAAAACAAAATAATGTCTGGTAATTTCTAAAAATCTTTCCCCCAAAAGATTCTGTGTTTCTAAAGAAAAAATGTTTGGCTAGTAGGACAACATGGCCCTCAAAATATCTGAAAGTTAATAGTCTAAATACTATCCATGAATAGATGGTCTGGTTCTAAGGTTTCCCAACAGTTAATTTTAGCTAACATGTTGTTTTTTATAAAACGAGAATGGTAGCAATTTAGGGCCAATAACATGAGCACAATCTTTCAGCTGATGTCATGAGCAATAACCTTGTCTCAATTTTCCTTGTAACTAAAGTTACGTACCTGTCAGACTGCAGACTGGATTGACTGACATCTATAATTATGGAAGAGAACAAGCAATCCGATTCTTGTTGTTTAAGTACTCTAATCCCAGGCTCTATGCCCCAGGCAAATAGCTCTTGAACATCTACTCTGGACACTCAGTGGTCATTACTATGACCAACTTAAAAACTAAAACTTCCTGACATACCTATTTCTATAGCAAGTTTTCAAAAGAATATGGCTGAAGTGTATCACAAAGCTTTCTTTTCTAGATTTTACATAATTTCTGACAGGTATGACACAGGTTAAGTAAGAACTTTTTACCATCCATTATACTGTTCCGGTAAATTTTGGAAGGCAAATTTTGGAAGGCAAATAGATTAAAGTCGCTGAGTATATCACAGCATAAACTGTTCTGTAGACATTCTCTATGTTCTTAGTTTTACCACATTAGCAGCTAAATCCAATACAATTCCTGGAGACATAAACAGAAAATGCATCCAATGAAGGTCTTTATCACTATCTAAGCCACTGTAGCACCACACTTTTAGAATGAAAAATTAAAAAAAAAAATGGAAAACTGTAAATAAATAAATCACCTTCATTAACTGCTTACTAAGTTCCAAGTTCTTTAAAAATATTATTGAATTTAACCTACACAATTACTATTGTCCCAATTATACAAACTAGAAATAGACGCCAAAGGATTAGCAAGGAGAAAGTCATTCAGTTAATGGCTTACTGCAGCAAGGATTCAACTCAGTTGCCTCACACCAAAACCACTGCCCTGATTGATACAGCTCTCCCTTTGGGTTAGTTAGTTCTATGTTATACCTGCATTGAAGTACAATTCAAACCCTCAGTTCTTGTTCTTCCCTTAAAAGTTTGAGAGACTGTTTCATCATTTGATACTACGATGACAGCAAGTTTCTCCATCCCTGAACCAGTTTCCTTTTCCCCCATTTCTCTCCATACACAAAGAATCTCAGCTTTGTTCTTGTATTCAGACTCTTCTTTTCCCTCTTATAACTACTGCTGTTAGTGCCACAGGCACATTGTTTCTCCAAGTCAAGAGTAAACACCAAACTTCCCTACCCCTTCCCCTTACTGTAAGTTGCTGATTACTGGAAGGCCTGGCTATTAATTTTAAAGCTAGAGGACAGTTGTACATGCACAATGAGTTAGACAGAGCCAGTTGGTTTCCTCTCAGCCTTAGGCAACAAACGCTGATAAAGTGTCTGCAGTGTTAGCTCAAAAGAATAATACCTGAAAGAAAAGCAGCTACACACAAAATTATTACAGAAAACTTGACTTTTAACTGCTTCATTTATATACATAAAGTAGTGAGAATGTTGGTAAAATGCAGAAACAAAGTGGTTTCCTATGCATTTGCTTATACTGTTTTGAAAATCATCATTAAAAACTAAGTTTAATAAAATTGAGCTGCTTCTATAATTCATCTGCACCACTGCTGGTCGGATGTAACCCTGGGAACACAGGGCTTTATTATATAGTCTAAAATAACGGACACGTTTTTTAAACATTTCTTTCCCCAGTGGTACTTGCTTGCTAATCTTCCTATGGGCTAGGTTCTAAAATTCAAATAGCAGTGGATGAGCATAACATACAGAACTTCAAAATATGTTGTAAAACGAGTATTTTAAAAACTAAAAAATATGTGGCACACTTCCAGAGAAAGAAAAAAGGACTTTTCTGCATTTGAATAGGGACTACAAGACTAACCAAATATATTCCTTTCTCATAAAAGAAACCAAACAAGTAGTATATATACAAATGTGAATGTACACATGACTAGGTATTAGACATATTTCATCTTAAACATGCATCTGAACTTAAATATATATTAATGTAACTATTTACATTTTAAGAAGCAGAGAGGGGTAAGATCATTACAGTTAATGCTTTTCTCCAGTTCTCTGAAATTACTAAATTATTAAATTCCAATATTAGAAAACCAAAGGCATAACCAGTAAACTGTGACACCCAAGGCCATGGTTCAAGCACATCAAAAATACCTGTTTCACTCTGAATCTCTGGCCATGAGTCAAGACAATATATTACAGATCTTATATCTTCGCTATAGAAGAGGATTCACTAATATCAAGTCTCAAACAACATTTTATTCTACAAGAAATTCTAATCTTCTGCAACACCACATATGCACATAGGCTTTATCTACACAATTCCACACCATAGCCACTAACTCTGTGTGGCACTGGGTCTGTAACAGCAGAACTCCTTCGATTTTGAAGATTTTTGCTAAAAAAGTGAATTACTTCATTTTTATAAAACTGTCGTGTTGAATCAGGTATAGCACACAACTGTAATTCAGCCACTTGGGAAGCTGAGGCAGGAGAACAGTCATAAGTTTGAGACCAGTATGTGCTACATAGTAAATTCAAGGCTAGACTGAACTGTGAACTACATAGCAAAACTGTGAACTACATACAAACTACATAGACTTTCTCAAAAACACATGCACACACACACAGCCCAAAAACTCAAACTGGCATGCTGAAATGATACTATTCTGGATACATTGAATACAAATGCGTGTTATTAAAATAAAAGTCACCTGTTTACTATTTTTTTGAGGTTTCTATAAAACGTTAAATACATACATGGTTTGCAATACAGTCCTATTTTACACTGCCTGTGTCACTCAGAATTTTCAAGCAAGTGGAAATCCTTTGAATGGAAAAACTATCGTTTACTTAACCCATACATTTTTGGTGTTGATCATATCTTTCCAGTGGGACACAAGTAGTAATAAGCAATTGCTTGGTAACTGAATTTCATTCACACAAAACTGTACTCTTAATGTTTTATCACAAAACTGTATTGACTTTTCATGTTCCAGGAAATATGTATGTTTGAAAATATCTGAAGACCAACCAAGATTCCTCCAAAAGGAGGTCTTTCACCCATTTCTCCCCCAAGCGAGATCTTTTATCAACTTCTTAAACTCCTATAGAAATAATGTGAGTCAATAAATTTAGTCACTATGTTTTGTTTTTGTTTTTGACGCTGGAGACTGAAGCCAAGGCACATATTAATCACTCACTCTACCAAGGAGCTATACCCTGGCCACATGGTATTTTTTAAAAGTCATTAATATTTATTTTATTCATGGAATTCACTCATGCAATGAATATCTTCCTTATTCCACCATAAACTTAAGACTGGCTGAGGATGTAGTTCAGTGGTGGACTAACATGCAGGAGGCCCTGGGTTCAATCCCGCACAATGGGGAATAAAAGTCCTGAATGATCTGTTTCAAATCAGTGAAAATTCTGAATATTTAAACTCAGTTAATATATATATATATATGTATATATATATATATATATATACTCATCCAGAGTCACACACAGAACACAGAAAGTAATCTGAGAGTCTATTTTCTCAATTATTTGAAGGATGGTACCACTGTACACATAAGAGAAGTCAATTCATTTCATGCAATAAATTCTTTGAGTTAGTAAAGCTTAATTCTCCAATGGAACATAATTTAGAAATGATTAGATCTTTGTATTACGTAAATATTAATGATTAAAATTCACAAATGGAAAGTATTTAAATTTATACAGTTGCGGTTTCTGAGCTGTAAAATGCCATATTTCCAGGAAAATAAGTTCTCACAAAAAGAACATTAGCATTTTGTCTGGCAGATTGTGTAATTATGCTCTGAAAAGACTTCTAAGAGTCATTCAAACAAATATGGACAACAGGGAGAATGTCAGTCATGTCCTGAACATAACGTTTACTTCATATACTAAATGGTATCTTTAAATTACTTAATAACAATTTATAAATTCTGTATTACTTCAGTTTTGATTTTTAAAACATCATTAAGTCATTACTTGGTAATCTTCAGGTATATTTTACCTAAATATATCAATCCAAATCCTCCAGAGCCAATCATCTTGCCCAGCACCCACTGCTTTCCTTCAGTATCATCCAGAACCTTGCCTTCCGGAAGTGGAACAGGAAGTTTGTATTTCTCATTTCTTTTCAGGGGCATCACTTCTGTTGGCAGAAGAGATAAAATAGATGGTTTTAAAAAAAAAAAACAAAGGCAAAACTCTGTAGAGTTAAAACACATTTTCCAAAATATTTTCTATGGGTAATTTCTCCAGGTTCTTAGAACTTAAGATTCTGTAGCCAATTCACTTTGGAGAAAACAACCCACTATATTCAAAGTAGAGCTTCGCATACGATTTTAAAATCTAAGCGTTATTGCTACTAAAAAACATCCACATACTAATCTATTGAAAGTCACTTAAACCAACATTTCAAAAACTCATTGAGGAGTCTATAATATGTATTAACACTGCAGAACGCACCAAGGAGGTAGGTATAGGTCAGATACAGCGCTTGACTATCATGCACGAGGTTCGATAGGTCCTGGGTTCAATACCTGATGTAGGAAAGAAAAAAAAAATCTAAGGACAAAAATTAATTGATTTAATAGCCAGTATATGCAAATACTGCATTAAGAATGATATGGTAAAAAAAAAAAAAGGGGGCTGGGGATTTAGCTCAGCGGCATAAGTGCCTGCCTTGCAAGCAGGCAGTCATGAGTTCGATCCCTGGTACCAATAAAAAGGAAAAAGACAAAAAAAAAAAAAAAATTTAAAAGAATGATATGGTAAAGGTAAGGACTTCAGTCACTCCCAAAGAATATAATTTTCAGTCAGGAAGACACAGCCGATGGTGAAGTATATCACCACCACCAAGCATCTGACACTGAGCCCGGATTCAGCAGATATTCAGTAAGCAGGTTTCAGTTGAAGGCGCAAGGGATTTGCACAGAGGTACAGTTTAGTGGATTAGGCCATTAGGTAGTTTCCAGGCTGGTAGACTATGCTCTCAGCTTCTTGCCTTCTCATATTCCTTTCCACCTCATCAAAGGAAAAATAGCCTTGCTTTAGTGATTACCGCAGTACTGCCAACAATGAATGCACCACCTCCGTAGAATATCCATTGGACATTAGTCCCCACTGTAGATAGGTTAGTAAATTGCAAAATGGGAGATTTGGAGTTAAAATTTTCTTTGGGGAAAAAACATGTGGCTCCTAAACCTCAAACTAATTGTGAGTGTAAGCACGACTCTTTTAAGTATTTCTTAAAGTTTTTAATATGAGAATTACTTACAAACACATATACTGCATACTCTATATTAAAAAAGTAAACTTCTCTTCATAAAGCTTTTGCCATTTTCCGTCTGAGAAAACACCTGTTCCTTTTCCTGCGTTTCCTCCCCCTTCACTTTCTGCACCCAGTGTCCCCTTTTCTTACTGAACACCATCACCTAGATGGACCAGGGAGTTCAGCTGTCCCCTCCCGGCACAAACCCAGGAAAGCCGACTCTGCCTGCCGCACCCTGCCCGGCACAGGCGCAGGCGCAGGCGCAGGCTGACTGTGGGAGTGAGCACAGCGGCGCTCGGGAGAAGTTTGCAGACTGAAACTTGGCAGGGCGGGCGCGACGGAGAGAAGCGCGTTTCGGGAAGTGCAGTCCGGGGCAGCGGGGTGGACGGCGGAGCCACCCCGGGAAGCGCCCGGCCCGGCAGCCCTGCGCTCCCTCCCGCTCCCGCGCCTCGCGGGCCCGAGAGCGCGGCGCTCCGGCCGGGCCTACCCCGGGCCGCAGCCAGGCCGCTCCCGCCCGCTCCCCGCACCCAGCCCGGGCGAGGCCGCGCCCCGCCCCGAGTGGCGCGAGAGCCCAGGCGGCTGGAGACCCGCGGCGAGGCCGGCCCGGCCCGGCCCGCACGGAGGCCGCGAGCGCCGGCCCCCGCCTGACCCTGACCCCGGCCCGGCCCGGCCCGCCCCGGCCCGCCCCGGCCGGCGCAGGGAGACTGACCCGGCTCAGGGTCGCCGCCGCCGCCGCTTCCGCTGGGCCTCGGGCCGCGTGGGGAGGAGGCGGGCTCGCTCGCGCCGGCCGCGGAAACACAGCGGCCCCGCCCGGGCCCGCCCCGCTCCGGCCGCCAGCTGCCAGCCGCGGGCCGGGCGGGGCGCCGAGAGGTGCGGCGGGCGGAAGAGCGCGAGAGGCGGGGAGCGCTGTAATCCACCGCGCCGCCTGGGCCTGGGAGGCCGTGGGACAGCCGGTGCGCTGGAGTAGGGGCGCCTCGGTCTCGGGCCCTGTGCTGAGTGCCCCTGCGCCCAGCTCCATCCAGTCTGTCCAGCCGCGCTGACCCCCCGAGGAGAGGCTGGAGCCAGCTTTTAAGGCCCCAGAGACAGGTGGACCCAGGACCGGGTTCCAACATTGGAAAGTCTTTCAAGCAGACTTTGCTAAACTTCCTAGTGTTTGTCTGCGAGATAGAAACAGTCATTTGCTAGGTTATAACATTATTATTGGTTGTAAGATTATGGCCTTTAGAAATATATCGGGTTCTGACGCTGAAGTTTTCTGAGCTTATAGTATTTTCGAGTAGACAGTTGCTTTGAAAGCAACTATCACAAGTTATCAATATTCTACAGTCATTGTTTAGAATACAAAAATAGGAAAACACGACTGCCCTTTAATGACTTACATGGAATAAGGAAAGTGAAGCGTACTACTTACAGCAAACGATCACCAAAATGAAAGATGGCATTAAAACACATTTTTAAATGCTATAGATGTGAAAGCATTTAAAGCATTTTTAAAAAAGCATTTAAAAAAAAGAAATTTAGCCTATAGAGTAGTTGTGCCTTTTCAATAGCTGAATGCAACAATGCCTATTCTTATTTCCATAAAATACACATAAAAGGTGCAACTGGTTACCGCTCCTAACATCTACGTGGGGTATTCTCCAAATACTGGAATGTTCACGTTTCTTTTCCACCACTTTGTACATCAGTTTCTTTGAGGAAGATGAAGCTCAGGTTCCAGCCTCTAAATTATTCAAGGCTTCTCTCTTTCAGTAGGTTAGTAATCGTGTTCCTTCAGCCTTCAAAGTGTATTCAGAACCCCGTTCCTACTGCCGTCACCCTGATCCAAACCATAGTCTCTTATCTGGAGAATTTAGTAATTTCCTACTGCAGCTTCTAGTTTCTACTCTTCTGACACTTCAGTCTGTTTACAAAAAACAGCCAAGTTATAAGCTCGAGTTAAATAATTTGTGAATTTGAAACACATCAGTATTCTAACTCAGTTTAAATCAGTCCCTACTGTGACCTAAAACAGTATTTCTCAACTGTTGGCATTATTGATATTAGGCTAGAAAATTCCTTACTGGGAGACAAGGGTAGGTTTGTTGTTGTTTGTACCAGGGATCGAGCTCAGGACCTCGCACTTGCCAGGCAGGCACTTATACCAGAAGCTAAATCCCAGGCCCCGGGGTAGGTTTCTTAAGGAAGTGTCAGGAGTTAGGATAGCCTATTCATTGGGACAGACCAGGGCAGCAGAAGATTCCATCATCTGTAAGAACATCCATTTTGAAACTTAGGAATTATTTCAGAAATTTAATATTTAATATTTTTGGAACATGGGTGACCATACATAACTGACTCCTCAGAAAGTAAAACTTCAGCCAAGGGACAGCTACTGAATGTTAAGTGTATAACAGCTATGTGACTGTGTGTTCATATCCCTGATAATTACGTAAGAGAAATTTGTATTTTGTATCCATACAAAAACTTACGTGTGGGTTGTTAGCAGCTTCATGTTTATTTGACTGACAGTTTATAAAGGTTTCAGTCCATAGTTTGCTGGCTCGAAGGCAGGGTGTCATGGCAGAGGGACATCGCAGAGGAGAAATAGTCCATGGCAAACAGGAAAGACAGCAAAGCAGTAAGTGACAGAACTGTGGGGGACCGGTGGTGGCTGAAAAGATAAGAAGTACGAAATATAAATGACCTTTATTTTGAGAATGTGGGGAGAGAAACCCCCGATCCCCTGGGGCACGGCATCTCCACCCCGTCCGTGATCTCTCTGTGGAACATGTGGAGTGGGGGCCTCTATGTAGCTTAGGTTAGGGGTGGTGCCTGAGGGGGCATTAGGGATGCACAGGTAGCCATTGGCACTAGTTTGATGCCAGAGGTAGATTCCTAGGGGTGGGGGAGATAGAGCCCCTTGGCTTTACCAGCTACAGTGTCCTGTCTGGGCCAAAACTCTTTCAGAAAGCAGTTATTTCTGTCCCTCCATTTCATTCACCTGCCTTTTGGATGATGCCACTCACCTAGAGTGAGGAACCATCAGTCCCAGTGTCATACTTTTTTTTTTCTTTTTTCTTCTTTTAAAGAAAGTAAAATTTGCCAAAACAAGGCAGAACAGAGCAAATCAAAACAATGCAGCAAAATTGGTACAGAATTTCAAAGCAGGATACCAGGAAAACAACAACAGCTACCATAGCTTGTTATCTCTACGATAGTTGTCCATTCCATCAGATAGAACAAAATCAGGCCAAAACAAAACAGTAAGACAAATCAAAACAGAATGTCGAATAAAGCAAAAACAATTAATCAGAACAAAGCAAACCGTGAAAATAATATTGGATTTCAAAGAGAAGATGGAAGGAAACCCCCATATTTGCTGTATTGCTTGTTGTCATCCTCCCAGGAATGCTCAGACCGCTGGCGCCAGGCCTGCAAAATCAACCAAACAATATAAGCATTTGGTTACTCTATGTACCTTAGTTGCTATCAACTCAGCCTGTCCTCTGAACCACCCAGTTGCTTGTGGAGGGGCAGGGACGGGAGATGGGAGACACACAGACAGTGTCTGATTCTCAGCCCACACACTGGTAGGGGCACGGGACATGCTATATGACTTTTTTCTCCCTGGTACCCGCGCAGCTTGCTCAGCTTTCCAGAAAGGCTGGCTACTTGATTTCTTGGTTGGTCCCCTAAGTCCCAGCATGGCTGATTCCAGTATCATACTTTTAATCCCAACATTATATTCTTAATCTCCAAATCACACACTCCAATCCAGCCATCTTAAAAACTCCCCTCCTATGACTGGAAGTGGCTTTGGGGGGACATCTAGATATAACACTGGTGATTACACATTACACTGGTGAATTGGTGAACACATTTACTTTATATCTTTCATACAATGAGATGTCACTTAGTAATACAAAGAAGCAGACTACTGATATAAGCAATAGCCTGGATGAATCTCAAACCCTTGATGCTGTGCAAAGAAAGAAGACATAAACAAGTTGTATAACTGCACTTACTTTAAATCGCCAGAAAGGCGGTGTGCAGAGAGGTTAGTGGAACCCACTGAACTGATGGAAACGTGCATATTCTTTGTAGTAGTAGTGGTTGTATAATTATACTTTGTCAAAACTTCTCTAATTGTAAAATTAAAGCTGGTGAATATTTCTATATCTGTCTTATGCCTCAACAAAGTGTTTTAAAAGAAAAAAATGACATAAGGAAAGATGGGAAAATCCTGAGTTCTCAAGGTTATTGACTTCTTCAGCTAACCCCGAGCCTCATGATTTTTGTATTCATCCATGAGGTGTTAAATGTCCTTATGGTGTAAGCGACTTTGCATTGGTTTCTATGTTTCTTTTGCAGCCAAAATTTTCTTAACATTAAAATAAAGTTTCAAGTTTCATGAGTGCTAATGAATTTGAAATGTTAATGAATCTGTACTGAATGAAAATGAGAACAGAAGTGCAGGTAAACCTATGTTGAGAGTTTTTTAAGTGTTGGGATTTAATGTAGAATTTTATGATTCAGAGCATATTGCTATGTGTATGTTTCAAGATGAAAACTGACAGAATATAGAAATACAAATTTTGGAACTAGTGAAAGAACATCTTCTGAATGAACATGATGAGAAACAAGAAAGAAAAAAGAATTTAGACATGAAAGCACCAAAGTCTGACTCATCAGAAAAAGATCAGGAAAACAAGGTTTTCAAACAAAGCTATTTCGATACATCTTGCAGGCCATGAATGATTCACCACAAACACACACAAAAGGACTTCCTTGGCTGTGCGCCAGCTTGTAGGTATGGTGAGTGGGTTCTGCTTTTCAAAGAACCAGGTGCTACAAAATGTTTATGCTGGTTCAAAGGAAGAAAAAAAAAAAGGCCTCACCGTTTAGTGGGCAAGTTTTACAAGGCCAAGATCATTGCAAATCAATTAAAGTGTTAAAGATGTTGCATAGACAGAACATTCAGAAAAATCCAATCTTTGTTATTTAAAGGA